CTCAAAAGTGTAGAGCAAGCTCCACCACAAAGGGAGCTGGCTCCCCCACCTATGGAGCCGGCTCTATGCCTTAGGGAGCCGGCTCCCTTCACCATGGAGCCAGCTCTCTCTCTCTCATAGAAAGCCGCGAGCAAAGAAAAATAAGGAGCCAGCTTTGTCCCTGCTTCTTATCATCTTCATCACCTTAGGCGACATTTAAACCCTCTGTAAACCTTTGTTAGGGTTCCTAGGAGTTCAATCTATGCCCGAATTTATTCTAGAAAACACTTAAAAACACGATATGCATCATAAACAACAATTTAGAGTTCATAGAATGAAACAATTTATGAGATACATCAATTTCAATTAACATTAGATAATATAGTGAAAACTCTGAATTAATATGCATACAAGTTCAGTTTTAAAGTCTGATTTAATCCTGCAGATTATCTAGGCATGCACAGAACACAGGTCTACGGGAAGGAGTAAGATATAGAACTTGTCTTAGGTTTTAGTTTAAAACCTTGAACCGTCGTCTCTAATTTTTCCGACAACACCTTAACTGCCATTAAACACCTCTGTTGCTCCTGGTTTAACCCACAAGCAATCATCTTCCTTCCTCCTTGGTCCAACCTTCACCCTATGGCTGAAACCCTAACTTAATCTCTCAGTTCTCTCAAACCTCTTTGTACGTGAATAGGGTTTGTGTTTTAAACCCTAGGCAAACCTAATACGATATATTTATATACAAAATAATTTTAACCTAATTATATTCATGTGAGGAAATGGAAAAGAAAAAAAAAAAACAGAAATTAAATATAAAATACCTATATGTATATAAGTCAGCGATTTCATAAATACATATAAAACTCTAAAATTATATAATACATATATAATAAATAATGATACTAATTTAACCACTATTAATAATTAATAAATAAAGTACCCTTATATACACATATACTCATATATATATATGTATAAATATCCATGGGAATTAACAGTACCCATTTACCCTCCTATCCAAGTAATCTAATAAGACCCAAACGGTTGGTCCATTACTACTGTTCAAATCCAACTCCTTTAATTAAAAAAAAAAATAAACATTTAATTTAAGTCCACATAAATAAATAAATCAATTTAAACCCATTAATGCAAATCCACATAAGCATATAATTCAATTAAATCAATTAAACAATTAACCAATTAAACAAACAGCCAAATAAACAAATAATGAATTTAAAATTTCAATAAAACCATAAAAGAAAATATCGAGACTATCCTTTTAAAATTAGGGATATTACAGCGAGTGCCACTTTCACCCAGCTTACTAGCTTCACCGCGAGCTCCAAAAGGTGAGGTAATGGAGCATCTTCAGGGGTGCCCTCTAATATATATCTCGATGGCCAACAAAACAAGTAGGCCACGAGACCGAATGGATGATCAATTCAAGGACCAGGAATCCCCTTTCTCCCCTTATCCGAGGGGTCTTTCCTTGAAAAGGGAAAATCCCTAAAGTAGTAGCGCATCAAAGCACCGAGAGTGGCCTTGCACGAGCCCTTGCCTCGAGAAGTATGTCGAGTCCCCTATTTTCCACATAAAGTTTTAAAGTTTTTGGTCTTATCCAAAGCTGCCGCGAGGTCTTGAGCTAAAGTCTCTTCATCTTACGAGAATGCCCAAGAACCATGATTCTCCACACCCTGAAAAGGTAAACCCAATAGCTGGCTTACATCCTCGATAGTGGGTGTAAACTCTCCCCACACTGTAACAAAGGTGTGCGAGCTTGAGCTCCACCGTGAGGTTAACTCTCATAAATCGGCAACGTCGTGAGGAATATGTAGTCGGCGAAACAACTTAATACAAAACAACAAGCTCGTCGTGGTCAAAGTTGTCTTATACGCGGGGTTAGCAAGGATTGCATCAGTGCATGCCTCCCAACCATAGCCAGGGCTAATGTGATTGGTGAAATTCACAAGAGACCAAGGATATCTCCTTTGCTCAACACCGAATCTCAAAATTGTGTAAGCAGGGATGCGAAGAGCTATATTAATGTCAACCTCCTCCTCCATCAATTCCACCACTTCCAGTGGCTTGCCGACAACCACCGCCTTATTTGCCCGGAGCCAAAACATGTCATTTTTCCCTAAAAATGGTGCTCTCCGCCATTCTGACTCTATTGGCACCTTGGGGGGAGGACAATCTTTCTTGCTTCTTAGTCACCATGATGTCAATCCCCTAAACTGAATAAACACAAGCCCAATTTCAAAGTTTTGCAAACTCTCGTCGCCGGCAACAATGGAATCAAAGGTAAGAACAGTAGCCTTCAGTCTTCTCTTTACACAAGTAAGCCACTACATCATCATCTACCCCTTTTAAACAGTTCCCTCACCTCGGGAATTCCCAAAATTGAAGCAGCAACAGACAGTGCATTAATGACCAGAAGCGGCCTTTCGAGCTCGCGTCCTTTCAATTTCCTCAAAGAGATAAATGACCTAGCCACCTATACTTGCACGCGCAGCAATACATTATGAATCGCCGCGCGTGCAGGGGGACAAAATGTGGTGTCACTTATTTGGAGTTGACATGGCATGTTGACAAGTCAATATGGCTCTAACCAAATCCCCCGTGGCGATTTGAAAAGTCAAAAGTCTTGAAAGATCAACCCTCGAACACCCTAAGCCTTGGTATCGCTCCAGGCCCATCAAGCCTCGAGCACCCTAAACCTTGGCATCGCTCTAGGCCTATCAAATCTCGAGGGACCAACTCTCGAGCACCCTAAGCCCTGGCATCGCTCCAGGCCCATTAAGCCTCGAGGGACCAACCTTTGAGCACCCTAAGCCCTGGCATCGCTACAGGCCCATCAAGCCTCGAGGGACTAACCCTCGAGCACCTTAAGCCCTGGTATCGTGCCAAGCCTATTAAGTCTCGAGGGACCAACTATTGAGTACCCTAAGCCCTGGCATCGCTCCAAGCCTATTCAGCCTTAAGGAACTAACCTTCGAGCACCTCAAACCTTGGCATTACGCCAGGCAATATCACTTTGAAGGATTGGAGCCCTGGAGGGCTCACCATCAAAGATTTGTATATAGCATGAAACGAAGGTGGGGTCTTCGCAGCTATAAAGAATCTATGTTTGGGAAACTTAGGAGGATCTTGGATTGGTGGATGAGAAGTCAAGAGGTGCCTTCATTCTTAGCAAAACCCAATTAACAAGATGATTGGATTATACATGTTATGACAGCAAACCTTAAAATCACATTTAATGCTACGTCAGGCTTGACCAACCAGCGGCCAAGCAACATTTAATGCCCTTGATTAAAGGAGAAATGACATGGCAATGTAGTGCAAGGCTCGATGAGAGGATTAGACTCTTCAAACTCCTAAACCTCCGGGATTACCCACGTAATCCAGATTGGGAGTAATGCATGCGAGGAACCATGCATGGAAGGGACCATTGGATAATAACCAATGGAATTCGGGCCTATAAATAGTACTATCATATGAAGGAATAACCAACCAAAAGAGGAAGCTGTCATAAGATATTGTATTATTGCCCTACCACCATCTTAATTTTGATGATTGGTCTTCTTCTCCTCCTCCTGCACTAAGCATCTCTTCTGTTTCCTCCATATTTGTATTCCTGATATCATTGTTGTATACTTATTTATTGATTGATAAAAAAGAACCCCTATACACTACAAACTCTCCCACCTCTCTCTACCTTTCTCTCTCTACAGAAGCCATCGTATTCTTCCTTTAGCGCTCCCTGCTCCATTCCATGGGAGTGGGGAGCCGCTAGCTGCCTCCCACGGATGCAATAAATTCGGCGTGTTCGAATAAGTGAGCTCTGTGGGTGTTTTTCTACGCCGTTTTTGTTTATGTTCGACTCGATTTGCTTTTGTTTATTTCATTTTATTCTCACCTAGGCAGATCTGTTGTTTTCCTCCGGCTAGATCTCTGATCTAGGCCGGTTTTGGGTTTTCCTCGCTTAGATTTGATCATTTTATCCTTGATTGGATCTTGTGCGGGATTTTATGTGTCAGAGCGCCTTGTGGTTGTAGTTTTGAAGCGGTTGCTATGCTGATGGCTAGATCTTTCGATCTTTTTAGTTTGCTGCTTTCTTCTGTGGTGATTCCGTTTGCAGAGTGTTGGGCTATGTTTTCTCCACAAATCTGGAGCCTGTTCTTCATTTATTTGTTTTGCTTCAAGATTTCTATGTCTTTTTTGGCTTGATTTTATGCCTCTGCCATCTTGGCTGTAGGTCTATACGCCTTTGAGAAAAATAAAAATAAAAATAAAAATACAAATAAAATTAAAGTGAAAAAGAAGAAGAATTTGATACACAATTCTTAACGATATGAATGATATCATGGTCTTTCTTCTGTATGATAGAATTACTAGTTGGTGACAGCGCAATCTTATCGGTCTTTTCTTCTTTTGGGGTAGAACAATCCCAACACCAATGATATATTTTTCTTTTTATTTTCTTCTTTCTCTTGAATAGACACGTGGCTTACACAGTAACTCCCAAAAGATCTTACCCTCTTCCTGTCCACAAGTTTGGACAATATTAATTATCAGTCACATCAAGTCTTCCTGTCCACAAGTTTGGACAATATTCTTCTAAAATTATTGTAGAGGATTGAGAATCTATCCCATTAAGCAAGTAGCTTACATCAGGCTGGTGTATGAGAAAAAACACTCCCTCTCACGCACAGTATTGCTATGTTATTATAGTGGAGGAAAGTCCGTTGTCATCCTGATTTGGGTTTGATTGGATCGGTGTTAAAAGTCTCTAGTTTCCGCCTGATGAGCGAGCTGGTGACTGTCCCGTTGCTCACTCAATCATCTCCGCAATTGTAGAATTGGCGAACCACCGGGGTGCTCGACGGCGCTTGGTCGATTCGTGCAGGTGCAGTGCGAATGAATAAAAACTTTCTTTGCACGGGAGGGACTATTGCCCTCTTTCTTGCTTAATCAATTGTTCACCTTTGTGTGGAAGGTCTAAATTAGAGAAAGATTCACTCTTGAAGCCCATCCTTTTCCATCATATCCCAAAACCAATCATAATTATCTTCCTTACTAGTCTCTGCACTCTCACTCTTCTTCTCCAACGAGTTGGCTCTGAGCTCTTCATTTTCTGGTTGTGGTTCCGAGCTTTGTCCCTCTGTATAATCTGAAAATGGGAAGTTAAGCTTGGCTTTGGCTCCGCGGAACTCAATGGCCGCCTTGTCATAAGCCCTAGCTGCAGCCTCCCCGGTCTCGAACGTGCCAAGCCACACCCGGGTTGCTCTCTTGGGGTCTTGGATCTCCGCAGCCCACTTCCCCCACCTCCTCTGTCGGACTCCCCTGTACTTTTTCTTCCTCTTCTCAGTCTTACTCTGTTTCTTCTCTTCTTCATTATTCGGCGGGAAGAAGTTTGGTCATTGTACTTGTGGAAGATTGGAGGGATTGTAGCAGCCGGGTGCCATTTGGATCATCACTATCACCGCCGGTGATGACGTGCTTGAGTGCTGAGACCATGATGGAGTGTTCTTGGTCTGGGGTCAAACGAGAAGAAGAGGAGGCCATTTCCATGGGGTTCATTTTGAAGAAGAATGAGTAAACTTTTGCTAGAAAAACTGGCAGAGAAATGGTATGTGTGAGGATTTTCATGTCTATTTACTTATATACGTTGAGTGAGTGAGTTTGCATGCGGCATCCCGCATCCAGATGATGTACGCAGTAACGCAATTGGGACACGGTTCAACGTTGGATTGGAAAACTTGTGACAGCATGGAAAAATAGCGCCAGGACGGTAGGTCAAGGCTCTGGTCAAAAGCTTATTGGACTAGTAAGATATTTCTGAACTTATCGATCAGAAGGGAAGTCATTGATGTATTCTACAGTTGAGATTATAGTGACACTTTTGTTCCCACACATGGATAGGGCCAATAATTCACTCGGTTTGGTCCTTCAGTTGTCTAAATTTTTTTTTGTTCGGTTTGTTGATCCATTCACTTTGATCATAATGTTTCATAAGACATAAGAACCCAGTAATTTACTTATTTTTACGTTTGTCTAATTTGTCTTTTAAACTTTTTTTTGAGGCTTAGTGACAGTGACTAAACCAAGTGAGATTTTGAGCTTTTAAAAATCGGTTGGGTGACAATCACACACATGGGATAAGATTGACTCACTTGATTTAGTCGTTTCATTGTTTAACGCGTCACGAATAGCAAAGTTAATTCGTGCATTTCTATTTTACCTTATGCATTATTGTTACAAAATATGGAGCACTCAAAAAATTACATTTTTTTCGATGGTTAATTTGAAAAGAGATAAATACACAACAACAACGGAAAATGTAGGGAAAAAAAAGTCTCTAAATCCTTGCTTTAATGATTTCTAATTACATTCTTAAATATAAAAAAAAAGTTTTTAAAATATCTTAACCAAAATACACAACACGTTGTGCATCATGATAATATGTTGTGCACTATTCTTATTTAATCTGTTTAACCATTCCTGACAAACTTGATGGGAGTGTCAGTAACATTAGTCCTTCTAATTTTAATAATTTATACTTGTTTTTCAGTTTTGTAAAGTGTTTATTTAAGTGTGATTATAGATTCACCTAAAAGTGGAAGGTTGAGGTATCCAATAAACAAATGAATGTTGGGGTGACTTCATCTACGTTTTTTTTTCCTTGAAAACTAAAAATAAAAATCTTGAACTAAATTTAAAATTCAGATAATAAATAAATGAACTGAGTCTTCGCTCGATATTTTACGTGTTTAGAGTCCTTTTCACTACGGTTAGTATTTATTAACGCTACCAAAGAATTCCATTGGCTGGATATGAATTATATATATATATATATATATATATTATGCAATTATATATAATAGTTAATTTGAAAAATAATATGAAGTACCTGCTTGGATACCTAAACCTAATAAACACTGTACGCCTTAATCTAACTTCACAAATTTTTTGAGAAGTATTTTAGTATATTTTACACTTGTTTTGTAGTCCTAACATATGGGGAGGTTGATGATATTTACTCACTATTATCTATATGTATTATATGTCTTTTTTCAACATGATAAAATCTTTGCAATCAATGAATGTAGCCCTAGTTTAGAGTGAACACGTAAAATTCGTATTTGTCTGTTAATTCAGTGAATAGCTATTTTTAATTATAAATAAAAATAATGAGTGCCCACAATAATATTCTCTCCTAACTTGGATTCAAATTTGAATATTTATTAGATTTAGACTATGATTTACACGAATTGACTTCATATCTTTTTATTTGTTCCTTACTAGTCTACAATTGTTCAAGCTAAAAAAATTTATAATCGAGTTTTAAGTAACACAAGTTAAATTAATTTTCAAATCCTTTATTTTAGGGCAATAAATAAGTGTTTTTCAAAAGGGAACAAAAAATTTGGGGCAATTAAATTTTCCAATAACTTTGGGAGATTACAAGTTATATAACTAATCTTTACAATCATAACTAATAATTGTAATTTATTATTATTATTATTGGTGGGGGAGGTGGGCAGCATGCCTGCCTAGCCTCTACTCCAGTTTTGTTCCTACCAAAGGAGGTGGGGGTTTGACGTTTGAGTCCTATAGTCTGTAGACATTTGTGGGGGAATAAGAGTGTTTTTGAGTATTTACCTTTTTTCTTAAAAATAAAATAGAAAAAGATTTATATTCCATTAAATCACACCGTTGTAAACAATAAATTTTAAAACACATGAAAATTACGAAAAGAAATATGTCCCTCTAAATAAATACCTTCTTTTTTTTTTTTTTTTTTTTTTTGACACGAACAAGAGATTCATTCAAAAAACAAGGAGAATACATTTAGGGAGTAGAGCATGTAACAACTACGGGGCCAAATGCTCCACTCTAGATCACTAACCTCGGCTTCTAAAGCCTTCTTGCTCAATAAATGAGTCGCACCATTTCTTGTATGAGGAACCCAAGAAAGAGAGGAACCAATGCAATCCTTCTTAAGCAAAGCAATATCGTTCAGAACCCTCAACTGGATAGCACTCGAAGCACCAAAGCTTTTTTCAAAATAAAACATTCAACGAGCATAGGATCACAAACATTAACACGGAATACCGATGCCACTTTAATAGACTGGCCCAAAAAATTCCTTAAAAGTATGCCACCTCCACAAGTCTTACGGGAACTATTAAACGCCGCATCAAAGTTAAGTTTCAGGCAACCAGATTTTGATGCAGACCACCCCCTCACAGATGGAGAAGGTGGGGCAGGGGCAATGGAAAGCAATTGGAGACACCTCCAAAAAAATCATGGAAAGCTGCACCGCATCAAAAGGCTCCCACTTTTTACGTTTGAATACTACTTTTACATTCCACCTCTCTTAGGAGTAGCCCGCAAAAATCACATTCCAATATTTTTAATTAAAGAAACCTACTTAAGAGTGATGATATATATATATACCTCCAAAAGTTTGGAGACTAGTATGAGGACTAAATGACATCTTAACTAGGGATGTAAATGAGCTGTGACTCTAGTAGTGGCTTGTTTGGTTCAGTGCGATCACATTGTTATAGCATTTGATCGACATTTTTGTAACAAACTTGAGCTCGGCTCGAACAAACTTGTTTAACAGGTGTCGCTCTCATACTCTGAACGCACTTTCACTCTCACGCTTTGTGCGCTCTCTCGCTCAAAATGGTCATTCCATTAGAAAGAAATTTCAAGTAATGAAAATTCATTTCATAACTAAACTTATGAAATGACCATTCTATTCCCAAATAATTAAAAAAAAAAAAACCACATGTTCCAAGTCCAAAAACCACGATGCCTCTACCTTCCACCACCACCATCGCCGCCGCCTTGCGCCATTGTCACTACTACCACCACCACACTGCTACCGCCTTCAACTACCACACTGTTGTCACATCCACTGCCATTCACTACCGCTACTACCACCACCGACTTCCACCACAGTCACCGCTTTCCACCTTGAACCATCACCATCTCAATTGCCTTCAATGATCATCATTTCCCCCACCACCATCAGCATCACTGTGGCCACCATCACCGCCACCGCCTTCCACCGCCCCCGCCGCCACCTCCTTCCACCGCCCCCGCCGCCACTGCCACCAAATTCTACCTACGCCACTACTTTCCACCACCTACACCATTGTCACATTCCACCACTACCACACCACTGCCCACCATCATCACCTACACCATTGATGCATTCCACCACTGCTTCCACCACCGTCACCGCTGCCATTTCTTTAAAAAAAAAAATTATAAACGAATGTTATTTTGTTAATTTAATATATTTGTCACTAAGAGGTTTATTTTGGAGAACTCAATTTGAAATTCATTCCATTCTAAATTTTAAATTGGTCCAATAAAGAAGTAGAATGATTATTATCATTCCATTCCTACACATTTCATATTTGCAATCAAACAACACACTTTGTATTTGCAATCAAACAATAAAATAACAATGACCATTCCATTTCATTTCCATTTTCACTTATACCCTTTCTTTTTCATTCTTGCATACCAAACACAATAACATTCTTTATTAATAACACTTTATAACCTAAACATATCCTGAAATTGCCGGCCAAATATGACCTACACAATATATAAAATACCTGAGTTTTATTTATATCTTTCATTATTTATTTTTTCTTTTTCTATTATTAACAACTCTCGAATTCACACAAGCATGTTATTCCTCCTATTTTAGCCAGATTTATTATCCTCAAGTCAAGAGGATGTTGGTGTTGTTTGTACTAAGGATGCATCAAGATATTTAGGTTAAAAGGCATTTGTGTATCGATATATATATGTTTGACCCATTGCGCGCACGCGCGCGCCCACACACACACACACACATATATATATATATATGTTTGACCTATTCATAGCATTGCCGAACCAGGGGCGGCTCAATATAATTTGAGGTCTTACATGAAAAATATAAAAGTGGCTTTTTAATATCTAATATATATATAGTCAATCCAATTAATATTTCTTATTACATAATTGATTTTAGAGTTATACAACTTTTACTTAATGAAAAATGAGGAAAAATATGTCAAAAAAAAAAAAAAAAACAACAACAACAACAAAGAAGATAAAAGTTAAAATAAAAATATGGAAAGTTTTACAAATTCTGGAGAAGAAAAAAGAAACGTGAATGAGGAGCTGTGAGAGGGGGAGAGGGGGAGAGAGAGAGAGAGAGAGAGAGAGAGAGAAAAAAAAAAAAGAAAAAAAAAAAAAAAAGGAAGATGTAAGATAAAGATAGAAATCTTTTGGCCCCTATTAAATCTCTATTTGTTAGGGTCTAATAGTAGATACAAATACAAATTTTAAGGAGGTTATAATATAAGGAAAAAGAAAAAAGAAAAATTGAGGCCTTTTTATTGGGTGGAGTTTAATAATAAGAAGGAAATAACATATTTAGGAAGGTTATAATATATACAAATAATTTTTTTTGAAAGTTATAATATAAGGAATTACAAATTTTGGGGCTTTTATATTGGCTGAAGTGATAATAGGACGGAAATAAAAAAATTTAGGAAGGATATAATATAAAGAAATTAAAAAAAAAAAAAATTGAGGCCTTCCTATTGGATGGGGCCTTAGGCAACCGTCTAAGTCACCCAAGGGTCCATCCGCCCCTAGCATTGCCATTAATGCCCTATGCTGACACAGATAATCAATATACCATACAATCTAGTGGTCTAGTGTAAGGTGCCAAGGGAGAGTTTCCCACTAAGCAAGAAGATCATAGGGCACTTCATTTGCAAAATAAATTATGATGAGAGAATTTTAAAGAGATAGAGGGATATAAAAGAGCCAAAGAGAGAATATTAGAAAGAGAAAGAGAGGGGATCATGATCCAAAGAGAATTTTATAGGGAGAGGATGAGACAGGAATTTTTTTTCTTTGCCTAGGTTTTTTATACAATAGGTGAAATATGAGTACTCATATTCGATTCATGTAACCCTTTATAAATATGGATTGAATATGATTATTCATATTTAAACTATATTTTAATATGGATCACCATTATTTCTTAAAAACGGACGGATATAGGCGGATTAACGGGTTAGGAATCATTTTGTCACCTTTAAAAATAATTAGGGTAAATTGAACGTATTGACACCCCCCTCGGGTTTGAATGAAAAATAACCATCTACAACTCAAGCGTTTTTTTGGACAATGATACTTCCCAGGTTTAATAAAATGAACAAAGACACTCCAACCATGATAAAAGTACATACTTATCATTTGACTTCTGAATTGACCCATGCGAATCATTAAATTACCTTTATAACCCTCTATTAATTGACCAAAATGACCCCCAAGAATGAAAAAACAAATATAATTTTATAGTGACATGCTTTCTTTTTCCTTTTTCTTCATTTGTGTAGAAGAAAAATGTGACATGTTGTGTAGGTAATGTTTCAATAAACGTTAATAAATAAAAAGATTAACTTGTGTGTGATTACTTGAAGGTGATATTTAATATTTAAATATTAAAAATGGTCTTTTAATATTTAATATTTTACTACGGAATAATAATAAAAAATTTAAAAACCATATTTCTTACTTTTTGAGATGGAAAGTCATTGTTTTGTATTAGAATTTTGTTTAAGTATTAGATAATTATATAACTAATCCATCTAAGGTAACTAAAAATTTTTACAATGATTTTATATTATTTTAAAATTTTAATTTTACATTACTAGTTTGGTCTCCCAATTAAAAATTTCTAGCTTTGCCCTTATCTGTATGCATATGGCGTTGGCAGCCACAATGGTGGAATTTGGGTTTTTTTTTTTTTTTTTAAAGGATTTATATTGGTCAAATAAAAGGACTTATAAAGGTTAATATTATACTTTAATGATTCAAATGGTAAATTTAGAAGTCAAAGAACAATTAATACTCTTATCATGGTTAGGAATGTTGTTGTTTAAATTTGCAAACTTAGTGAATAATTGAATTACACTTTTTTAAAATTGTATTTAACTATTTTTATTACAAATCTAAAAAAGTGTAAGTGCAAATTACCCAAATAATTAATACACGGGCACATAAAGAACCATTTTGACACCTTTTATCAAAAGGGCTTCAAAGAATTTACTGTTTGACAATCACGCAATGTCCACTGCTTTATAGCCCCAATTCTGCAACAAAGCCAAACCTTCACTCAGAACCACCATATCAATTTGGTCCGTGTCAATCGATAGCTTCGTGTATCAGTTTCATGTCAACTTTTTGACCCATCTAAACCATATTTTTAACCAATGAGGACTAAGTCCACCACAAGGTTGATATGTCATGTTGTTGATGATTATTATATATTTTTTTCAAATGGTAAAAGGTTGTCGTGAGCGGGTTCTCTATTTTACAGCACAGTTCAAAAATGAGCTAGGGCACAACCAAAGCATAAGAGATAGGACAATAGTAAGGAATTAACAGCACCGAAACTTGTACACAAATTCTTACCTAAAAGCTGCCCCAAGTCTAGGCTATTTTTCTCTCAACAAGAAGTTAGGTCTCTTTTTATACACCTAAACTCAATTTGTTGGTGTATAATAATTATAATTAATTTTTTAAATTTCAAAACTTATCTAATAAAAAATTATTTTACGATCATAATTAATATCGATTATAATCGCGATATAACAAATAAAAATAATATAAATTTAATCATCCAAGTCACGGATTGAATTTAAAAAAATATATAAAGTATCATACTTACGATACAAATGTCAAAATTAAATATGAGTTTGAGACGCAATTCTTATCAATACAAAGAATATCATAGTCTTTCTTCTCTGTGATAGAATTACGAGTTAGTAACAGCGCGATACGTCTTTTCTTCTTTTTGATAGAACAATCCCAAAACCAATGATATCTTATTCTTTTTGGTTTCTTCTTTCACTTGAATAGACAAGTGGCTTACACATCCCAAAAGATCGCACCCTCTTCCCTTCCACAAGTTTGGACAATATTAATTATCAGTCACATCAAGTCTTCTAAAACTAGTAAGATAGTTGTAGAGGAATGAGAATCTATCCCATTAAGCAAGTAGCTTACATCCGGCTAGGGTTTTGAGAAAAAGAAACATTCTCTCTCACACACAGTATTGCTATATTATTATAGTGGTGGAAAATCCGTAGTCATCATGATTTGGGTTTGTGATTGGATCGGTGTTAAAAGTCTCTAGTTTCCGCCTGATGAACGAGCTGGTGACTGTCCCGTTCCTCACTCAAGTCATCTCCGCAGTTGAAGAATTTTGAAAAGAGGTAAATACACAACAACAACAACGGAAATTGTAGAGAAAAAAAAGTCTCTAAATCCTTGCTTTAATGATTTCTAATTACATTCTTAAATAGAAAAAAAGTTCTTAAAATGTCTTAACCAAAATACTCAACACGTTGTGCGCCATGATAATATGTTGTGCACTATTCTTATATTATCTACTTAACCATCGTGACAAACTTGATGGGAGTGTCACTAAAATTAGTCCTTCTATTTTTAATAATTTATACTTGTTTTTCAGTTTTGTGAAGTGTTTATTTAAGTGTGATTATAGATTCACCTAAAAGTGGAAGGTTCAAAGGTTTAAGTATCCAATAAACAAATGAATATTGGGGTGACTTCTTCTACGTTTCATTTCCTTGAAAAATAAAAATAAAAATCATGAACCATGTTTAAAAGTCAGATGATAACTAAATGAACTGAGTCTTAGCTTGATATTTTATGCGTTTAGAGTCCTTTTTACCACGGTTAGTGTTTATTAACGCTACCAAAGAATTCCATTGGCTGGATATGAATTACATATATATATATATATATATTAT